TATGGATCATTTACAATGATGACTCCTATCATATATACTTACTTGTTTCACAGTTAACACCTGTATAACCTGGAATACAGACGCAAACGTACGCATTTACTGCATCTACACATGCACCATTAACACAAGGATTAGGTAAGCAATCGTTGATGTCTGTAAAATTAAATCAAAGTCAGTGTTAAATATTATTCCTTTAAAAAGTATACGGAAATTGATAGTTCTTAATAAGCACATATCACACAAAACTAGCATTTTGTATAGGCCACCGACAGAGGTAGGCCTACTCATTTATATCATAATGCTCTTGCCGGAGTTTCAATCAACACATCTATTGACCAATCAGAACATATATTACAGTGGGAGGCGGGGCTATGGATACACGCATGTTCCACAAAAGTTCACGGTTTACTTTCATCCAGGTTTCTCTCTACGAGTGGCTGTTGGAGAATGTGAGACCTTAGCAACGATATCTAAGGGGCGGAGCTAGCAGAACTGTCATTGTTATCAAGCTTCAGCTTTATGGTTGAGATGTATGTCAAAAGGTTCTGGGTTCAAATCAAAACTCCACTCACTTTATAGATCACGCAATTAGAAGATTATATCAGAAGACCTATATCCTTCTTCTAATTGGCAAGACACTGGACTGCTTAGGCCTATAAACAGGCCCCCATATACCAGTTGTAAGCATATCGATTTGGCAACACGTAAAACCTACCTATTTCACATCTAACACCACTGTATCCTGGTACACAAACACACTGGTAGCCGTCAACCTGGTCAACACAAGTGGCGCCATTTAAACAAGGGTCTGAATCACACTCATTTGTGTCTGAAACATCAACATAAATCAGTATAAACACTTCCGTTTACACTATTAAGATACAATAGATGTATTGTAAAAAAAGGACCCTCGTGTTCATATTGATTAAAACGAGCTTAGCAAAATTATCTTAAGTTAAAATTAAAGCTAGTTATGCCTGGAAAAAAACATTTTGGCCGAGTTAATCGGCTAATGAATTTGTCTGCGCTCTGTATGTGCGCTTTCCCGACCATCACCAAACAATGAAAAAATGTACATAAAATAAGATACTGGGTCATTATGTACAATTTAAAAGTAGGCCTTTGTTGGGTATTTTTTTGTTCCACAGTCACCATTGGTTAACAGTGCCCTATGTGGTCTGTTTTAATCCCAAAGATATTAAACGGGAAATAATTGGGCCTACGTAAAAATTGAAAAGTTACTTACTGATTTCACACTGGAGTCCAATGTATCCAATAAAGCATTGACATATATATCCATTCACACCGTCAAGACAAACGCCATTAACACAAGGGTCCGATGCGCATTCATTGATATCTTAGCATGAACAAAAAAATTATATAATTTAATATTTTAATTGATACTCATAAAAACATAAGTAATCACTATATAAAATACATTAACGGTCAGTATGTGCATCTAGTTATGAGAATCATAATGCGCTTCATCGTTGCAGCCAATCACATAGAAGATGCCTATAACGATTAATGTTATAGCAAACATAGACGAATGAAATGTATCCTCACTATTTTAAAGTGAATTAACGGTTAGGCTTATTTCACATACCTATTCCGCAATCGTTTCCTATGTAGCCGGGCATACATATGCAGGAGAATGAGTTCACACCATCTACGCATGTGCCTTGGTTCAAGCATGACGACAGACTACAGTCGTCGATGTCTATAGGAGAGAGGAGAGAAACAAACACACATTTATAATTTTTTTAAAACCATATTCAGTGTTCAACTATTATGATAGCGCATTGTGCAAACTTGATTAAAATACTTTTGCAAAAGTTTTAAAATCATTTTAGAAAGTATTCACATTATGTATAGACTGTCTCTTATACACATCTAGATGTGTATAAGAGACAGTATATATATATCCTACTACATTTGGAACGTTAAAGTAGAGTAGTCTGCGAGTGTGAATGAAATAGGGGCCCAACCGGGATTTGAATCATAGACAGCAGAAGGTCCCCGGGCACTTATGTTTACACACTCGCAGATTCCTCTCCTTTAATTTTTCTTCTCGATACAACTTTCAACTCCACAAATTAGTTTAATACCGTTCAGTTGTAACTATAATGTTCGCGAAATCCCTTCTATATAATTATTTTTATGTAAATAAATGACCTTACTAATTTCACAGTGAGTCCCTTCAAAACCAAAAACACAGAGGCAAATATACTGGTTGATTCCATCTACGCACGTACCCCCGTTAAGACAAGGGTCTGAGGCACACTCGTTTATGTCTAAGAAAAACGAAACGCAATGTTATTAATTTTAAAAAAATTAAGAAGAAAACAACTTATAACTAACATATTACTTACAAAATAATGGCATATGCAAATGATCACGAAACACATTCAAACAAAGACGTTTCATGAATTTGTTTCATATCTCTCAGTAAATAAAAAAAACAAGATAAGTAATTAAATCTATCTACTCTTAAGTACAGAAGATAAAGAGGTGATATGATTGAGACATTTAAAATTCTAAATAATTATTCTGTCTCTAGTTTTCTACAATTGAATGTATCGGACACTCTTTGAAGTTGCTAAAACAACGTTCTCGTATGGATTTGGCAATCGCATTGTAGACAATTAGAATGCACTTTCAAATAATGAAGTTGTTACAGTTCCTCTCTCTCGCGTTTGAGAACAGACTTGATAAATTCTGGAAGGATCAACCAGTAAAGTTTGACCGTCAAGCAAGAATCGAGAATTCAGGATCAACAAGTTTGGATCTGGACATAGAGGAAACTTAGTCCTACGTCCAGTACATCACCTAAGTAAATAAACCTAAGTATTATAATAACTAATTTAAATCATAAGAAATATACACCAAAGTTTAAACTCACTTATGCTGCAATGAGAACCAGTGTAGCCTGGAACGCATGTGCACGTGTAACCGTTCACAAGATCGTTACATTGACCGCCGTTCTGGCAAGGTAGTGAAGCGCATTCATCGATTTCTATTATTAATAATAATTAATATGATTATTCACTTTAAACTGAGATTGAATAATACTTGAAGACACTTCACATCGTTCTATTATAAAAATTCCGCCTCATCTAAATTTCCAAAATATACAGGTAGCTACTAATAACGTATATAAAATTAAAAATGTAAGCTATTAAAATATTAGATTTAGCCTATTATTTTTAGACACTGCTCCATAATTGTGGCGTCATTGTTCAACAATGAACCTTTATAGAATGCCAATCAAACTTAACAACTGACCAATCAGAATAGGGTTAGGAATACGCACGCGTCTAAGAAGCACACGTGTTGTCCCACAAACGCACGTGTTTAACAAGTGTCGTTTTGAAGGACCTTAGCAACAATATCCAAGGGGCGGGGCTTAGCGGAAAAGGGCCATTAAATCAAGATGTTTGTACCTAGTTCACAGTTGGTGCTTGTGTAACCGGGAAGGCAGGAACAAAAGAAGCCACCGGGGAAGTTAAAGCAGGTTCCACCATTCAAACATGGATTCGTAATTGTGCATTCATCGATATCTAATTTAAAATAAAAAACACACCAGCATGTTTATTTAAAATTCAAATTTAAATAACATAAAGTATATTCTTATACACATCTAGATGTGTATAAGAGACAGGCATCTACACATGCGCCATTAACACAAGGATTAGGTAAGCAATCGTTGATGTCTGTAAAATTAAATCAAAGTCAGTGTTAAATATTATTCCTTTAAAAAGTATACGGAAATTGATAGTTCTTAATAAGCACATATCACACAAAACTAGCATTTTGTATAGGCCACCGACAGAGGTAGGCCTACTCATTTATATCATAATGCTCTTGCCGGAGTTTCAATCAACACATCTATTGACCAATCAGAACATATATTACAGTGGGAGGCGGGGCTATGGATACACGCATGTTCCACAAAAGTTCACGGTTTACTTTCATCCAGGTTTCTCTCTACGAGTGGCTGTTGGAGAATGTGAGACCTTAGCAACGATATCTAAGGGGCGGAGCTAGCAGAACTGTCATTGTTATCAAGCTTCAGCTTTATGGTTGAGATGTATGT